TAAAAAGTAATAGAACAATGTGGAGCGAGAAATAAATAGCATTTGAATATGTACGGATAGCGCTTGAAAAACAGATATACCTGTCTACTTTTTAAATAAATAGGAATTTTTTCTTTGATAGTTCAATTTTGAACAACATTCTGAAAAGTCTGAGATAAAATGTCAATTGACTTGTGAAGTTGTTTGTATTAGATCACTTTATGAATGATATTTTTAAACGATATAATCAAATATAATTTTCTATCATAATAAAAACCAACTATGTCAAGTAACCACAGTGCACCTCAATTGATATTCCCCATTATGTATTTCTTACTTTAGACTATTATAGTCTACTTTCTTTTCCACAAGGAGTATATAGCGACAAAGTACACACTAAACTGCATCGCATCATGTATGATTCATATGTGATACATACAAATCAAACAACAAAAACTACATCAGAATAAAAGATGGTATTTCCTTTCACTACAATACATAACATACTCTTAGAGACAAATAGTTATAGTCCATTTGTTAAATATATTGTCACTATAAAAATACACTTTAAAAAATAATTATATATATTTTTATAGAACTTGAAATTCTCTATCATGTAATATATTCTTTTCTAACCTTGCGTTCATTTGCTGCAACAAAAAATTTCACGGCTAGACAACCATATGTTGAATGAGAGAGAATTTCAAGCGCCACCAGAACGTATAATGTCTTTTGTTAAATCATGTTCCAAAAGGAATAATAATTTGACAAACAACTATAAAATTGGCGAAAAAACGTAACTTCATAAATTGCTTTCAGATGAGGGTACATTCGATGTATCCAAATTTCTTTTTACAATAAATAAAGATAAGATAGAAGATTTATATAGAGGATGATAGAGAATTTCAATCTCTATCAGAATATATATAGTTATTTTTTAAAGTATATTTTTCTAGTGGCAATATATTTAATAAATGGACTATAGCTATTTTTATCCCGGAGGTATATATTGTGGTGAGAGAAAATACCATCATTTATTTTGATGTATTTGTCTTGTTTATTTCTATGTATCGTATATGATCAATATTTGATGTAATGCAGTTTACTCTGTACTTCCTCTCAATATAATGAGTGTTGAAAAGAAAGTAGACTATACTAGTCTAAAGTAAGAAATAAATGGGGAGAAATATCAATTGCGAGGTTCAGTAGTTAAATTGTAGAACAAAGGACAAATCTGTTAATGAGAGGACATGGTCGGATATTCAAGTAGATGGCACACAAGCTAAACACGTTGTACAAAACGCATCCTCAAACTAGACTTATCGGTTATGGAACATAAAGCTTTCGAATTATTTGAACTGTCAAATGTAACGAAGAAAGTGTTCTAGTGCATAAGAAGTCTCGACTTGGTTTTCACTCATTTTCATTGATTTTTTAAATTTCCAATACATTCTAATTTTCTATCAAGGACAGAAATAGAAGTGCAGATGTCAAGAAGACCTTCGATATGACGAAAATTTTTGAAAGATGCTAGCAACATTTCATCTAATGCATATTCAATGTTGTTGCTGAAACTTGTTTCTAACATATTGTGACCACTAGCAGAGTGCAAGTTTTGAGGAAATGTTGAACGCATTTTCGAAAATTTATGAGCAAACCAACAATAAAATGCTGAAGAAAAATAAAAGTTTTGCAAGATAGAGGTTAATTCTCTTGATCATCTTTGCTCAGGACACTCCTGATTGCTAAAGCTTGTCGCACCCAAAAGACTCTACTGATCAGAAGTCTTGTATTTTTTTCATTATGTCGAAAAAGAAAATCGAACTCTTCCTTTGAAATTGTTATTTTGGGGAGCGAATTGAGAAAGAGCAGTACTTCATATTGAAGTTTTGAAAAACGAAATTGATCATTTAATAAACATGGGACTTTGTAATAAGGTTTAAACGAAAATCGTTTGACTCGACAATCATTAGATCATCGGAACACAAAATAGCGACTTCGAGTTATATGTTGAGAAAGAAATTTACTGAATCTATTAGTAATAAATATTTCATAGAATGTCATTCTTTATATTCAAGTAACATAAATAAATTACTTCTGATTGGATTGATCGTAGGCGCCATTGATAATTCTAAAAGTTGCACAATGATCTCATTTACTTTTTAAGATTGAATATGAATTATAGTATGAATGATGTCACGATTCCTAACGGTCTACGTGAAATGCTTGAAGGTTTTGTTCGATCTGTTATTTTATCAAAAATAAAATCTCGTGATTTATATAAATATGCTTATCAATATTTTCGTGAATATTATTTATCAAATAAAACTTCAACTAAGATTATGATTAGTGATGATATAATGGATGATCAAACTGAAGAATCTATACGTGCAGCATATGAAAATCTAGATGAATATGAAAATCGTTATATAACACGAGCAGTTTTATTTGGTGATACATTTAATCCTGAAATTGACAAACTTAATTTACCAAAAATAAAAAATGAAAAAAGTTTTGAAGAATATGATTTTCTTCAACAATCAATTCCAAAAACATTACCATTTCGTGCACTTGATTATGAACAAATAGAACAAGTTGTTCAACATTTTGAATTATATCATGTTAAATCGGAACAAATATTAATGAGAGAAAAAGAACAAGGAGATTATTTTTATCTTGTTCAAACAGGCATCTATGAAGCATTAATTAATGATAAACAAGTAAAAATTTGTAAGACTTTCTTTTTCTTTTTTTTTTTATGAAACGTACGTATTTTTTATATTTAGATAATAATGAAGGTTCATTTGGTGAATTAGCTTTACTTTATAATCAAACACGTTTAGCAACAATTCGAGCATTAACCGATGGAAAATTATGGCGTTTGAATCGTGAAATATTTTCTCAAGTAGCTCGATTTGTAGCATTTAAGAAACGTCAACGTCATTTAGAATTTATTAAAAAATGTCAAATTTTACAAAATATGAATGAAAAAGAAATGTTAGATGTGGCTGATGCACTCAAATGTGAAGAATATAAACGTGGTGATACCATAATTTATGAAGGAGATCTTGCTGATGCAAGTAAACAAAAATACGAAAAAATAGCTGAAAGTTTCCTGTCAGATAAGATAATCACTCTTCATTTGAAAAAGTCAAATATATCATTTTGTAGAGCAATTCTGCATATTGCAGCAAGTGTCGATGATATGATCAAATATTCTGACTTAGTAGATCACTCTAAACTAACGTATCTTCAACTTTGTTTAAAGTTACTTCAATAAAGTTTTGTCTGGTCTTCAGTGGTGTATATCTAATAATATTCACAATTGATTTCTTCGTATCCAAAACTATAGTATTTTTACTAATCAGTTTCTGTGATTTTTAGCTTTTAGATGTTTTGAATTTTTCGATACTATTCCTAAGAGCAAAGGTGATTAACCATGCAACTTTCCTAGAAATTGTATGCCACTAAGCTCTGTAAGTTTATCAATTGATTATCTTCTAAATTCATGTGCTTGGTAGTAAAATCGTCCATCCAATGCCCAAAAAAAAAGTCCAAATTCTCGATTTCAAAGCACAGAAAACTATCAGTTTTGAAATAAATACTTTTTAAGTAAAAAAAAAAAACGTTTTCACACAACTGAAGACCAGACAAAACTCTATTGAAACAACTTTAAACAAAATTTGATATAACTCAGTTCGAAGAGACATACTAAGCCAGAAGATTTGATCATATCATCTACAATTGCTATAATATCTCTTAAGTGGTATATGACTGCTCCAAATATCAAAAGTTGATGAAAACACAATATCCTATAAACCATTTAGTGCTTCACAAATTGCTCTACAAAACAGTGCAGTCGGTATTTTCAATGAAGAGTAGTCACTCTATCCAACAATATCGCTTAATCGCTTCTTCTCATTATAAACTATTTTGATAATATTCTTTGTAGTGTATTTTGTGAAATCTGGTAGTGTAGAAATTCGTATACGTGAATCGTCAAATAAATCTGATTTTATTGTTGTTAAAATATGTCAATCGGGTGATTATTTCGGTGAACGAGCTTTATTATATAATGAACGTCGTGCTGCAACAGCTGTTGCAATAACCTATTGTCAATTATTAGTACTTGATCGAGCTGATTTTAATCGTTTATTAGGTAGTGCGAAAGATGTATTAAAACGTAAAGCAAAAGATTACAAAACTATCGTTAAAGATATACAAAATAAACATATGTAATTATATTCATTTTCTTGTCTTTTTGTTGATTTAATATAGAAGAAAAAGAATAAAAATAAGACGAATCAAGCTGATGCCACTAATTGTAGTTACTCCAATCGAAAGATGAATGAAACATCGATTATAAGCGAACAGTGGCTTAATGAAATTCAATTTGGTAATGTAGGTGCAGCTTTATTTATTATAGCTTATATTGGTTTTTATGGATTTGGAATCATGTCTTTTTTTATTCAACAATTAAAAGAAACTCAACGACAACGTTCTGATATGCCATCATATTTTTTAAAAACACTTTGGGATGTACCAAATAAAAATAAACTTTATGGTTTGTAATTAATAAAAGATGATTTTATTTTTTATTGAGTTCTTTATTCTTTTTTTTTTATTGTAGAAGAATTAGCTGATGTTGAACGTTTAAAACGAATATTTCGTTGTTATTTTGTTGATCATGAATCATATGCGACAATAACAAATGATGAACTTCAAGCTATTATTGACGAACGTGCCAGTGCATGTGCTTTAAAATATCGAGAAAAATTACGACGTCTTCATTTATCACATACAGATTATTATATAGATACAATTCACCGTTTATCCCAAATTGGTACTGATGTTCAAGAACAAGTTTCAAAATCAAAATCAATAACATTAACACGTACAACTAATATGAAAACAAGTATTGAATATTTAAAAGAAGAAGATTCTGATGATCATCTATTGTCTATATCTGTTGTTTGAGAGAAGTTTTTTGTTTCTTTTTTTTTTGTCTTTTGAAATTTTAATTAAATATTTCGATTTTGCATACGCCAATTTTCTTCCATTTTACGTTCTCGATTTCCCCATCCAAAACTGGATCCATTTGAACGTATATTTCCTGTTGAATTGACTGCTCGTGAGTTCATTATATTATTGTTTGATGTTGCGAGAGATGTCGATGTTGATTGATGTATTGGCATAGTATTCGCAGTTGATGATGGAGTTAATGCAGCTAACATAGCCGAAATCTTTTGTGAAGAGACATTCTAATAGAGAATAAAAAAAATATTGATTCAACAATAAGAGAAATACAAACAGAAACAATTTAATATGATCTGTGCTATAAGATTTTAGATAGTTTGAAGTTGCGCGAGATACAATATTACCAAGGGAACTTTTCTTAAATGAGATACCGACGATTCAAAATTTGAGCAAAACTTTTTTTCATCATAGTTGGATAGAGCTAGTCAAGTTATCTCTAGCTGATGTGTGTTTTGATCTACTAGTTGAACGATATTTTTATAGTGAATCTTAGAAACATTAAATTAGAAAAATCCAACAAGTCTATAAAAATTCAACTATGCCCAAAGTATCAAGTTTTGGTAGCCTCGGTATTTATGCAACTTTGTTTTTATTGGTCATATAATTTGAAAAGAAATTCAGCATGCGTTTCGAAAAAAAATTGTTTGATTGTTGAGAAAATAGTGTTTAGCATCAGTAGAAGAATCTGCAACGAATAGCATACTCCATACTGAAAAACAGAGTTTCATCAAATTTCGATCCTTACACTTCGTTATGGATACTTTCGAATACTCCTACCTGTACTTTACAGAAGATCAATAATTGAGGAAAACTTACATGTACTTTAAGTACGAAGTACGCTATTCGATGTAAGTTTTGAATGTAATCTTCAAATCAAAAATTCATATTTCTAGGAAAGAGCAGATTTCCTCAGCAATAAAAGAATATTACACAAAAACCGTGAGTCATTGTTTTCCTAACCATATAACAACTAAAATGAGAAAACCTCGGACAAATCTTAAGACTATCGCGACTTGATGCTGTGGCATATATCAATTTCTATATGATTTTTTGCAAGTGAATTTTCCTAGGATTTGCTACAAAAGCATTACTCAAATATGTCCAAAAAGAACATGGCTTATAAGTAATTCAACGATGGAAAAAATTTTTTCACACAAAGTTTGAGTTTCTGGCACCTTACTTCAAAATCAGCCTATGTTATATTTCATTTCCAATTTATTTTATTCTATTAAATTCAAATCAAAATTATCCTATATTCTTTGAATGAAGATTACGAGAAAAATAATTATGTAAAATACAGACAAAGAAAGATAATCACTATTTAATTATCTATTTTTGATGATTTCAGAAAAAAAAGTACTTATAAAACAAATCAAATATAACATACTAATGAAGGCATCAAAAGTGGATGAATCAATTGTTGTTGTTGTTGTCCAATCATTGTCGATGTTAGATTACTTCCTTCAGCTGTCTTCTCATTAACAACATTTTGATTGTGCATCTGAACTATTCTCTTTAGTTTACTTCTATTTCTATGAATAAAATCTTACTAAATTTCGTTGTAAATTAGCCAACAATAAAACTTTAGCTGTTAATTCAGGATTGAGTGATTGAAAGCTCATAATTTTTGTTTTTTTTTTTTTGAAAATGTATTTAATCAATCAAGTATAATTCAATATCAATAAATAAATATAATATGTTTGAATATGTATATATATATATATATATATTTGAACACACGATAGATTCTTCAATATGAATGTAATGTATAAACAGAATTAAAAGACACACAACAACGACAACAATAGTCAGACAGCTGTTGAAATATTTATTTTTTTAACGGAGAAATTCTATCGAAATATTTTCACCGCGCTTATTCTATTCTTTACTTAACGACAATATCTATGAAGTTTTGAATTTAAATATATATTTCAAAACAGGTTCAGATAACAATGGAGCGAGGAAGAGAAAAAAAAAACAAAACAACATGGAAGAAACGAACACGTAAAACTAACTTCACTAAAAAAAAAAGATAAACTTTCTTCTTTTTCTTTGGTAAAAATGTTTACAATTCATCTTTGTTTCCTTCATCACCAGTTGGTGGAACATCACTACCAGGTGGTGGTTGTTGTCCTTGATAAAGTTTAGTCATGATTGGTGTAACAACATCTTCAATAGATTTCTTTTGTGCTTTAAAATCATCAACATCAGCTGATGCTTGATTTTCATCAAGCCATTTTATTTTTTCTTCAATTTCTTTTTCAATTGTTGATTTATCATCAGATGATAATTTACCACCAAGTTTATCTTTATCAGCTATTTGTGTTTTTAATGAATAAACATATGATTCAAGTTCATTTTTAGCATCAACACGATCTTTAACTTTTTTATCTTCTTCAGCAAATCTTTCAGAATCTTTTATCATACGTTCAATTTCTTCTGGTGATAAACGATTTGTATTTGAATTAATAACAATATTATTTTTATTTCCTGTTCCTTTATCTTCAGCAGTAACCTATTGAATAAAAATAATAATAATAATTATTATTATTATTATCTGTTATTTTATTAAATAAATAATTAACTTACTTTAAGAATACCATTAACATCAATTTCAAAAGTAACTTCAATTTGTGGTACACCTCGTGGTGCTGGTGGAATTCCCGTAAGATCAAATTTACCAAGAAGATGATTATCTTTTGTCATTGGACGTTCACCTTCAAATACTTGAATTGTAACAACTGGTTGATTATCAGCAGCTGTTGAAAAAACTTGACTTTTCTTTGTTGGAATAACTGTATTGCGTGGAATAATTTTTGTCATAACACCACCAACTGTTTCAATACCCATTGTTAATGGATTAACATCAAGTAAAACAAGATCACCAGTATTTTCTTCACCTGAAAGTACACCAGCTTGAACAGCAGCACCATAAGCTATTAAAAACAAAATACATTAACAAAAACTTAATCAACTAGAATAAATTCAATTATTTACCAACAGCTTCATCAGGATTAATACCACGTGATGGTTCTTTACCATCAAAAAATTCTTTAACTAATTGTTGAACTTTTGGTATACGTGTTGAACCACCAACAAGAACAACTTCAGCAATATCAGATTTTTTTAAATCAGCATCTTCTAATACTTTTTGTACTGGTTTCATTGTTGAACGAAATAAATCCATATTTAATTCTTCAAATTTAGCACGTGTTAATGTTTCACTAAAATCTTCATTATCAAAAAATGATTCAATTTCAATTTTAGCTTGATGTTGTGATGATAATGTACGTTTAGCTTTTTCAACTTCACGTCGTAATTTTTGTACAGCACGATTATCTTTTCGTACATCTTTACCAGTTTTCTTTTTAAATAATTTTATAAAATGTTCCATAACACGTTGATCAAAATCTTCACCACCTAAATGTGTATCACCATTAGTTGCAACAACTTCAAATACACCATTATCAATTGTTAATAATGATACATCAAATGTACCACCACCCAAATCAAAAACTAATATATTTTTTTCTCCTTCTTTCTTATCAAGACCATAAGCAATAGCAGCAGCTGTTGGTTCATTTATAATACGCATAACATTTAAACCTGAGATTGTTCCAGCATCTTTAGTTCCTTGACGTTGAGCATCATTAAAATAAGCTGGTACAGTAACAACAGCATGTGTTACTTTATGACCAAGATAAGCTTCCTATTAATAGAATCATTAATAATAATAATAATAAATATAGATATAACAAAAAGAAATAACTTACAGCTATTTCACGCATTTTACCAAGTACCATAGCAGAAATTTCTTCTGGTTCAAAAAATTTTTGTTCCGATCCAACTTTTACAGAGATTGTTGGTTTAGATCTACGTTCAATAACAGTAAATGGAAAATGTTTTATATCGGATTGTACACTTGGATCTTTAAATTCTCGACCAATAAGACGTTTAACATCAAAAATTGTATTTTCAGGATTTGATGTTAATTGATTTTTAGCTGCATCACCAATTAAACGTTCACCTTCAGCAGTAAATGCAACATATGATGGTGTTATACGATTGCCTTGATCATTAGCAATAATTTCTACACGACCATTTTTAAATATACCAACACATGAATATGTTGTCTAAAATCGAAAACAAAAACAAATTAATTAAATGATTTCTTCTATGGAAAAAAAACAAGAATAACTTACACCAAGATCAATACCAATTACTGTACCAACATCTTCTTTTTTCTTGCTACTTGAATCTTCTTTAGCAAAAGCAATTGTCGCCAATATGACGACAAAAAATGATATGGATTTAAACATAATGGTTATTATTAACTAGAAGAGATTTAATTTTATCTGAAATAATTTAATGTATCAATAAAAAAACTACTTGTTTGTCTTATTTATATATAAACGAAAAAGTATTATTTTAAATTACGTGTCAATCGATAACAATGAATATGCTTATTATTCGTTTGGATTATGTGAAGATGTGCAATAGGTATCGAATGCCACGTAAAGAAGAACGATTCGTCTATCAGTAAAGACGATATTTACATCGCCCTCCATTCAATTATACAGCTGTTTAAACGAGTAATCAAATGGTTGGTAGTTGACGTAAGGCAATCAGTATATTTGAAATAGAATCGAAATGCATGAACAAATAATTATATTCATCTAAACATAGAATTTTACTATTTTACTAAAAAACATAATAAACATGCTGTATAAATTATTGTTTTATAGATGGTGCTAATATCTATTCAATAAATAAGAAAAAACTATATATTCTACGTCTAAAGAGTTTATATCAAAGGTCCAAACAGGCCACGATGCCTGCCGACCTGTCTGGGCCTACCTGTCACAGGCAGACCGCCTGGTCTGTCTACTTTTTCTTCGAAATCGAAGTTTCATCTGCAAGTTTCATGATTTTATTAGCAAATAGATACAACCTTCATTAATTTTCAAAAAATCACATTTAAGCGCGATGAATCAGACAAATACTGCGGAATGAGTATTAAAGATACTTATAGGAAATCAATACCCTTCCCATTCTGAAGAGATGATGAGCACAAATTTTCATAGTTATCATTATCTACTTGCAATGTTTCTCAATTTAAGTTAAATTAATTGATTCTAAATCATTTTTTCTGTTGCAGATTTACCACTGATTGAATTCTGTTTCTTTCTTGATCCCGATGCTTTCAGTGATAATGTGATCTGGCATGAGAAGTTCACTGAAAATATTTTTGAACAAAAACCAGATATCTTTCCCAACTTGACTATCTTAGCATTGTTTTTATTTTGTCTACGTATCACCAATGTTCAGTTCGTAAACTCTTAATCAGTAATGAAACTTTTCAACATATGCGGGCACCTGTGAAATTGTCAATAACCATAGACACCACCAACTTTGTTAAAAGGATAGAGTTCGAAATTGATATTATTTACACATCCCTACTGCGTCGCGCGTTTTTTTGATTGATATGAAGTTTGCGACAAGAAAAACGATACATTCGTTTAACTTTAGTTAATTTTTTCCAATAATCCGAGTTGCAGTTTGAACAAAGATATATTCATTATAACTTCATGAATATTCGATTAGTGATCATTCACACTGTAGGTACTGTGTTTGGTTTTCTGACAGAAAAATATTTCTTATTGAGTTCACGATTGAATTCGACCAAGTTCAATGTCAATCATAAAATAAAACTTAGATTGTACACACCTGGTAAGTCATTAAATTATAAAAGAAATTATATTATTCTGTTTCTTTATGGTAATTGATGTATGAAATACATATGTTTGTTTGAAAATTGAATACCTAGTGAAAAATGTATTAGACTCAGAAATTAACGTTTGAAATATGTACTGTGTTGTTACGAAACAAGTTCAGACTTGATTTTCCTTTGAAAAATTCATTTTGAACAAGGATAGTATTTTCTCACAGATTCAAACGTATTGGTTGAATGGAAATATTATATAATACAAAATTGATAGATAAATGTAATGTTAAAAAGTAAAAGTATAATTTAATTTATATTTTACTAACTTACAAGGTGCGAATAATTTTATATATACACAAATTAAATTAATAATAGACATAAATTGACATAGCTGTGCATTAGCATGATGATTTATACATGCTTTATGTTTCACAGTATTTTAGTTCTATTGTGCATTCACATAAGCGACATGATGCGAATTCATTTTGTTAGACGTTACATCGTATAAATTAGTTTTAACAAATACACGTTGTTTCTCTATTCAATGAAAGAAAGTATGAAAATTAGAATTGATTAGAATCAAGCATGTTTCCATTACTAAAAATGCTTTTGTATGTTAGATAATACGCAGAACAGCTAATGAAAATGAAACTTCTTGATATGCTTTTGACACTGATGACAATATAATTATTACAAATTTGTTGTCTAGTTGAGAATAATTTCTTTTTACCCATTGATAAGAAAAAAAAAGAAACAATAATGTATAGTCGTTATCAGAATTAATTTTATTTTTGTTTCCCAAAGTTTTCAATAAAAATTTGTAGTTCCAGACTGTTGTCTAACATAATAAAGCAAGGTCTTCTAAAACGGTTTTTGAAACTAACTGACTTGGTAAGT